TTGTTTAAAAAAGTGAGTTGATTTGTTATATTGAAATGTCTCCTGGGTGAGGAAAAATACATGCACACAGTTTTTTCTTCAGAAGACATGTTGATAAATTAAATTTTAAAAATCTGTATTGTTCCATACAAGTGTGTGTTTAACCTAAAGCACTGTTCAAAACATTTCGATACGGGTACACGTATTGTTGCACCCCTAATAAATATATTCAGTTCTCTGCCTCCACTCCTCAGATCAYCAATCACAATATCTAAGTGTTTCTGTTGACTGTAAGCTTTGCTGCCACGTCTGTCAGCATCCTGCATCCTTTTGTTGACAACACTTCTACAGTCGATCTGGTCTGGTACTGTGTACCACTAAAAGGCTCAGTACTGGTATGCAGTACCAGGAAGAAGGGAGAGCCGCTGTCTGCTCAAACTATCATTCAGAGCTATCACTGATGCACTTTTTGTCATAATAGATCCGGTAGCAATAGGCAGTCTAAAACATGATTTAAGATGTTTATAAAGATATTTTTCCCTCATCTCACATAGTTTCTGAACTGTCCACGCTGTGCTGGAGCCTCGGCTCTTGTCTTGCCTCTCTCCCCTCAGAGCTTGATGTTTTTGTAACGACCAGCCTTCACAACTAGCACCACTACATTWAATGTTTGCTGCTCCAGGGGTGGACTGGCATAGTCTACCGGGAATTTCCCCGGTGGGCCGAACACCTTCTTTTCTGCACACCAGTCACCTGATCTGCTCGCGTATGGCATTATATTTGTGCCACCAGCTTGAGCGTGCGGTAACACTGATTTGAGAGCAGATATCAATATGAACAAACAATAATTTGAGCCTCTTGGTTTAGTAGATTTGCAATAAGTGCTTTGAGTTCAGGTTACACACCTCAGAATACATCAGAACACTTTAATGCCTGGGACAGATTAACAGTGGTGACAGAAATGAATCATACCTRGGTTCTTTTTTAAAACGGATGATTTATCCATATAGGTTCGATTGGAGTGGCCCACAGATCTAGCCATCAATCCCATGGATAACTCCATTTATGTCCTGGACAACAACGTGGTGCTACAGATTACTGAAAATGGACAGGTACAGAATGTGGACAGTACTTTTTAATCTTTTCCAAAACTATAAGCTCAAGAAGTTACTGTTTTAGTCTCAACTCTGTTTGATGTTTGTGTGTTCAGGTTCGTATTGTGGCAGGGCGGCCCATGCACTGCCAGGTACCTGGCATCGAGTACACCCTGAGTAGGAGAGCAGTGCAAACCATGCTGGAGGGTGCCTCAGCCATCGCCTTGTCCTTCAGTGGTGTCCTGTACATCGCAGAGACAGACGAGAAGAAAATTCATCGCATCCGACAAGTAATTTGCTGGATTTTTAAGGAATATTTATCTCTACATCTACACACCTGCTTGACATAACAACTGTAGTAACCAGAGGGATCTGATTCTAGCTGACCAGGTGTGCTGGTAAAGCTGGTATCTGACTGGCTGTGATAGTGGGCAAATAGCAGTGAATGAGGGAGTCTCTAGACTGAATAAATGAACGATACTTTATTTTGTGTGGTAGCGCCATTTTAAAACAGATGTTTGGAACAAGCTAGCAGAGTCAAGAAGGTTTAATTCCTGTTTTTAAATAAAAACAATATTTTTCATGTAATACACTCCAAATTTTGTTTGTACAAATTGCATTTTGTTTTAGTATTTCGAAGCCAACCCATGCCTATATATCTGTTTAATGCGAAAGAAATAAGATTATTAGTTTGTAAGAAAATGTTAACTAACGTCGAGACGCAACCACATAAATATTGAATCGATTGAAATGTGAAGCGAATGGAAACCAAACAACCCCAGATCTGGTTTTCAGAGCTTTTATTGCTGACACTGGAGCAATCTGAGCAGCGCTGCTTGAAACCAGAAGTTCCAGTCTTTTAAATACAAGCGTCTTCAGTGCCTGGTGCGCCCACTACAGGCATACGGCTGAATCGCAGGCAACTCGTACAGAAAATACAATGGATTTATAACAGTACTTCTATGTGTTGTCATGATGTTTTGGGCATGTACCTAAAACTATTTTAATCAGGACATTACAATAGTCCAACAATAGATTTTAAAAGTCAAGCCTTAAAAAGGAAACTAAGACAAATGGTGTGGTGCTCTAAATCAGTATCTAACTAATAAATTTCTTCAAGTTGATTAGAAAAAAAGTACTGTAAGCTATTCAAGTGTCAGGGTTTTGTTCCTTTTTTATTTGTTTTTCACTGTTTTCACTTTTGTTATCACCAGGTATCAACTGATGGAGAAATTACCCATCTAGCTGGTGCAACATCTGACTGTGACTGCAAGGTACTGCGCCTCCATTTATCCAGTGCTACCTTTAACCTGATCTGTTCTGCTCATAAAAACTCAACCAGATGGATCAGGACTGTCCAGTTCTGGTGCAGGAGGACTGCTGTCCTGTATGGTTTAATTTTAATAATTTCTCTGCTTGAACACACCTCAGTYGTTGATTAATAGGCTTCTTCAAAGCTTGACGAGGGTTGATTCAGTRATTGAATCAGGTGTGTGGGAGCAGTTAGAAAACAGGTACAGCAGTATTTACTTCCTGATCCACTCTGTTCTTCACTGTGTGCTGTCCTGCAGAACGATGCTAACTGTGACTGCTATCAAACGGGTGATGGCTATGCTAAAGATGCCAGGCTYAACTGTCCTTCGTCTTTGGTGGTGTCTCCTGATGGGACACTGTACGTGGCTGATCTGGGAAACATTCGGATCCGAGCTGTTCGACGCAACCTACCACACACTGGTATGTGTCATTATTCATTCCATCCATGAAGTTTCTTTATACACAACACAAGTCTTATCAGGCACTGAAAATAAAACAAGTCCAAAGCCTAAATCTAATTCTAATCCAGTGATAGGTGATACACTTCCTTTATTAAGACAGACCAGTACATAAGAAATGAGTTAAATTTCTCAAAGGAACCCATCAAATAGTGTCAGATCTTCACGCTGGCAACAGTGGACAGTGAACAATTTTGTTTTAATAAAAAGAAACCTTCAACAGAATTTAAACCAGGCCCAAGATAGGAGGCATTCTGCCTGGATCCTGTAGGGTCAAAGAGGGCAGCCAAGTCAAGTCAAGTCAACTTTACTTTTACACCACATTTAAAGTGTATCTTACCCCCCTGTGAAAAGATAACTCCGCCCCAAGGCGAAATTTGAAAAATGCATCAAAGTGGTTAGGGGAGTGGGGTGTGGTGTGGGTAGGGGAAGGGGGGGTTAGAGAGCGGAGGTGTGGCCAGGACGAGAGAACGTGACAGGCAGCTAGCATTAGCATAATTGATGCTACATGGAAAGTGACCACAGTATCGCAGATAGTTACATCTCTGAGGTGGAGGATTTTCACCCAAATAGGTGGGCGGGGGTGGTTCAGCTGCAGACGTGAAAGCGCCTGCTGCGAAGCAGGAGGAAAGGAGAGAGAGGAAAAAGTAACTTATTTCTAGCGGCAGAACAGGTTGGAAGATGGCTATTTGATGT